TTGTTTATCTGGATTGCTTTTGTTACAGGTTGAGGAAGTAGCAGCTGGAAGAGAGCTGAAGGGAATGAGACATTCTAGCGAACCAGACTACTATTACGAAGATTACCTGCATATGATTTAATCTTGGAACACGTTTGCAGAAGAGAACAAGCTGGCTGTATTATTATTTTTTTGGATATAAATGGTGGCCCTTATACGGCTCAATGGCAAACCGTAGAAAATCTGAAGTCTGAACTCTTCCCCATGTGATATTGTATATAAATATAATCATTCAAAGAACTTCAACTATGTATGTATCTTCTGAATTGCAACTCCTGCAAATTCTGAAAACAGTTTTTGCCATTGAACCATTAGTTTTGATTCCATACTTGTGGCGTCTCTTGCTCCAATTAACAATGAAATTCAGCTAGCAATCTAGCATAATGTTTTCAATTTACAGTAAAGCCTCTTTGTAGGTAATACTCCCAGAAAATTGGCTATTTTCACTCAAATAAACTCTTCTTTTACATATTTGTATATTTTCTTCAGTACATTGCCTTGTTTCTCACAATTTGTTTTTTATCTTTGCCTAAAACATTTCCAACAGAATGTCGATTGTTCGCCGGATATATTCACGTATTTGTCCGAAACCTGCCACTGCATTTCGTTACCTTTCATCTTCATCCAGGGATGAAGAAGGGGAACGTTGTGCGGGGCGAGAGAATGTGAGTTCTTCTTGTTTTGATACTTTTAATTAATTGAATGCATTTGTAATATTTATATTTGTAGAATTTGGGGTTTACAGGTTCCGGGCATGTCGAGGATTCATTCTACGTTGCAGAAATTGGTTTTGGGGGGTGAAGAGAAAGTGCCAGATGCATGTTTGGATCTCATAAGAAAAAAGAGCAAGTTTACGAAGATTAAGAAAAAGGGAAAGGTTATGAAGAAGAAGCACAGTCCCGATCGACCTGATGTGAAATGGAGGGTCCTTTATCCCCACGAGAAGATTGATCGCGTCGGCGATACTGAACAATTTTTTTGGGAGCTCTGGATATCTACCGCGTACCTGATTTTTTACTAACTTTTCTATTTTAGGAGTTTATTAAATAAAATTATATTTATCTTCCCCTTTGTATTTATTGCTTGATGCGATTCAAACTGAATAGCAACGCTTTGGAGTTATGATGCATCAAACTAGTAGAGGGAG